TAGCTAACTTTTAAGAATGTAAATGAGTGTAGCATATGTTTTTAAAACTCTTTGTTTCCCTTTCAAACATGGTGTCCAAAAATTAAAACCCTCGCTTGTTAGACTATGTGCAACAAATCGGACATGCTGGCCTTTGGGTTAAGTACTTGGTATACTAATTCTTGTTCTTTTACAATTATATATAATTAAAAAATTAAAATCTAAATGCCCTATAATGTTCAACATATGGGTTGTGATAGAACTAAGGCTAATGTGATGTGGCATTTGATGCAAAAATATCAAAAATATTTTTGATATTTGTGATATTCTTTTTATTGATTTATGCAAAAGAAAACTATGTTCCTTCCATTTTTGTGATCAACTATTTTGAAATTGGCTATAAAACATTTCATGAATTAGTCACTAGTTTTAATAAAAATCAAAATAGTATATTTTGTTCCAAGATGGCTAGAAAGTACCATTAAAATTGGTGTGAATAAGTATATTTTGGATATGTAAAGTCAATTATTAAGACTAATAATATATATGTGAGAAAGTTACAGAAAACGTAGATTTGACTAATTTAATTAAAAAAATTCAGTTTGTAAATTCTTCAATACTGTATTTTTTGATCATTTTATTTATTTATTCTGGTAATTTTTGAAGTTTTCAAAAAATCTTTATATTTTTATCAACTAGAAAGAAATTATATACTAAAATATTATGTTATTTTACATATGCATATATTTTTAAAATAAATATAACAAAAAATAAATGTAATTCTAGCAATGCTATTTTGACAATTTGATATAGAATATTTGTATCATGTTATAAAATTTGTCAAAAACATGAACCACAATCTACCTAAATAAATAAATAAATCACGAGGCATCGCTTTACATAGTATTTCTTCAAATAATACATAAAATTTGAGATATTTAAGGGAAAGAAATCAGTATTCTTTGCAAAATAATAGCAAATCTTATTTGATTTGTATGCATCTTATAAATTGCAAAATCAAGGTTATGTAGCTGAAAAATAGAAGAATTAGAAGAAAAACAAAAATCATTTAGTAGAATAATACATAATAATGTTGATTCTTATTTTTTAATTTATTGTGAAACATTGATGCATGTTTTTCCATTATATTAATATTATTACATTGTAGCTAAAAAGATTAAGAGCTCTAGTTGATTTCTGAAATAATCAAAAGTTTTGGTAGGAATAGAAGTTAAAGGTTTTGAATAATTCACCTTTGTCCACTATACTTTGGGTGTTGCTAATGCCACCACATTTTTTGTTACAATCACCATAATCTGCCATCTTCCACATGCTACCACGGCTTTTGTTATTACTACCATAACTTTTTTTTTATTAACTTTTTGATAAATTTTTACTAAAAATAAATTTAATTTTTATATAACTAAAATAAATAAATAAATATATATATATATATATATATATATGTGTATTAGAAACATTAATTTTTAAAATAAAATTATAAAAAAAACTAAAGAAATATATTATGCATATAACGGATTGCAGAGGCAATAGCAAAATTTGTGATAGCATGTGGTGGATGGTAAGATTATGGTATTAGTAGCAAAAACTATGGTGACATTAGCAATATCTTATATTTCTTGCTTCCAAGTTTACTCATTTTGTGTCTTGATTATTGTTAAAGCAATTCACTTTGATAGGTCAATTTTGTCATTAGACATAAGTAGGTGAGTTTACATATAATTTAATATTCAACAAGTATTTTTGCAAAATGATAAATTTAATCATACATTATTACACAAGATTCACTGTGCTTATGACCATTGCCATTGGTACAATTGGATTTGAGATATTTAATCTTCCAATGCTCAAATTTATCACAATCAAAGAACCTTGTTTTCTTTGTTGGGTTTCTTCACATACTCTTATGTCTTCTTGTACTTATTTTTGCTTGTAATCTTGGCAATTATTAGAGTTAGCAGTAATATTTTATTATCAAATAGTTGCATATTTTCATATTCATGTTTCTATGTCATTAAATCTGAACTTAAATGATCTTAAATCTAGAAATTATATCTACCACAGATTGCTTAAATGCGCATGTAGGATAGAAGGAAGTAACATCAACTTTGTGACAAAAAACAGTTTAACACTATTTCAGGTATGAATTTAATAAGATAAGAGTAGTTTATAAGAACAAAGTAAAGTGATCAAGAACATTTTAGGCAAATGTCAAAAAGAAAAGTAAGTAAAAGGAATAGGGCAACAATGAATAATAAAAGTGTAAGAAAAAAATTAAGAATAAAAAAAATCTAGTATATTAGAATTAAAAAAAATATTAAAATAGGAAAAAATGTACTATATTTTTCTATATAGTTTCATCAAATTTCTAGAGAAATCTGAAAAAGTTTACTAGATTAAAATTATAAAAAATAAACTGGAATTAACTAATGAATGATTTAGAAAGATTAAGAAAATGTCAGTTGATTATAAAAATGTAGTAAAGTTGCAAGTGCTCAGAACTTCAAAAGCAAAGGAGGCTTAGAGTCATCACATATAGATATTAGTTAGAAGCTATGTTAACTTCAAAGATTTTATGTTAACTTCAAAGATTTTATGTTAACTTCAAAGATTTTCATTAACAAGAAGTACAATTTGATGAATTAATTCTAGTCATCTAAGAAAGAAATTAAGATGAAAAAGAAAAAGAAAAAGAAAAGAAAAGTGTTTTACTTTTTATTTCTTTTATTTATCTCTTCAATCACTTCATTCACTTCATTTTAAATAAAATCATAAATTTCTTATTATTCTAGATGATGTTTTTAAGAATACTTAATTTTTCACTCAAATAATTAATTTTAAATAAGAATCATTATATATATATATATATATATATATATGTAATACTATATTTTTCCTCTCAAAAATAGTTTTAAGAAAAAATACACTAAAAAACCAACTCAAATATATAAAAGAATCAATTTTCTCCTTGAACAATTTCAAATGGTTTAGTAATTTCATAAAATCGTAATTATGGACTTCAACAAGGTTTTGAAATCTTAGTTTCTTTTCATGGTTTAGGGTTTTAATGATAACAAAAATTTAAGTCTATGTAGGAAATATTTTAAACTTGGTTTTTTTCTTGTTCATGACTACCATTACTTTATTTTTTTTTATCATCATCACTATCAAGTTATCTATATTTTCATACTCACATAATACACAAGTGAGCCATTTATTTGTTGTTCACCTGTTCCAGAAAAATAACTTTACTCTATTGAAAATCATATGATTTTAAAACATCAACAACATAAGCACTTCATCATTCTTTCAGTTTCGTTTTCAAATGATAATTAATATTATTTCTTTCTAATGTCATAGATGCAGATTCACTTGCCTCCGTGGAAGTAGGGAATCCGAGTCGATATTAAATGTAGTCACCACTTAGAAAAACATGTTAATTTATTTCATAATTTATATCTCAAATAAAAAACTAAATAAATAAGTAAGAAAAAAAGAAGAAAAAAGAAGTAGTGAATGGGCCATGGAATTGCAATGAGCTTTGTGATTATGTTAGCCAATACTTTGATCCCACGTGGGAGTTGGGATGGTTAAGCAAATGACATACAATTTTAATATTCATTTATTTTTTTTAAAATTATTTTTCATACCTAACATGTGTAGTTTCTTTAGAAGACTTTGGAAGTTTTTTTTGTAGGCCTACATGAAAAAATAAATATTCATGATGAAGATTCTTGGAACATATTGCAATAAAGTAATGAAAACCAATCAAAGAAATTATGTTACCTTTAAAGTGTGTAGCAGGTACAAAATTATTTATTTATTTATTTATTTGTGACTTTTTCTTTGTTTAACTGTTTTTTGTGTAGGTTGTAACTTTTGTAGGTGTAAGCTTTCAATTATATCAAAAACAAAAATGCTTTGCCCACATCCTTTGCTTTTGTGTTGTAGACTTTTGCACGACAATACAATTCTATTTGTTTGTAATATAGATAGAGTAGGAATTAATAACATTGGTGTAGTCAGAGAATACTAACCATGTATATATAAGTACTTTTCTTTTTGGTAGTCAAACAATTGAATATGATCTCTCTACAGTCACTTGGAACAATATGTGCAATTATGTATTTTTTTAAAATCACAAATAAATAATTGAAAATAATCATGTGTTCACAATTATTATTATTATTATTATTATTGCAGAAGAAGAGGGACACACATATTTATGAACAACAGCAATAAGAGGAAGAATAATAATTCAACCTTCAATAAAGAAAAATAAAAATAAAATTGAAAGCACTTCAAATTCAACAACTATCACAATCAAAATTCAATACAACAATCACTTCCAAACCTGGTTCCCCTTGTTTCCATCACAAAGTTGGACATGCACTAAGAAAAACAAACTCCTTCTACAACACAACATTCTCCTCACAACCCCACACACTGCAATCCAACACTCTATTGTGCACTAAGAAAAAAAATAAAAATAAAACAAACATCTTTTCAGAATCCACTTCACTTCACGACACAAACAGTCACAGAATCCTCCACAATCCATGAATCAGTATACAACATGAGTTATCTATCCACCTATATATATATATATGTATATGGCTAATGTCACCACAGGTTTTGATACTGCCACCACAACTCCATGAAAAATTTCAGTCGAAATTTTCTTTATGCTAATATCACCACAACCATTTCTTCATGATCAATATATGGTAGGAATATTTGGGAATATATATATATATATATATATATTCGTATATCATTACACTTGTAGGTAGATAGAGTGTATTATGTATGTAGAAATATAGAAAGTGTCAATAGAAAATGTTTACGATGGAACCTGAGTCGCTTCTGTCGACATTCCAGCACCCCAGCTGCAACTCAGAATCACGCACACACGCACGCTGGCATCAGTTGTTGAGGAGGAGGAGACGGCGTTAATCCCCCCTCCAGTGCTGGGTTGCGGTAGGTACCACAGTCTCCTCGCAATTATTCGTTTACAAAATTGCTACGAGTTGTTGAGAGAGAATAAAGTGCAAACCATTTCTGTTGCCAGGGAGTCGTGGTCACACGTTACTGATAGGGCTTGGCTCCCAAGTTGCTGCTGCTCCCCACACCCTCTGAAACAACTTGACACACAACTGGTCTGCTAATCGAGTTTCCTGGAATGGTTGCTTCTGCCGCGGTCGGAGATAGATTTGATGGACCTACAGGAGTCGTGTGTGTAAATCTGAGGACTGTACATTGCGAGAGCCAGTTTAGAAGGCTGTCACGTTTGTCCCTTCTGAGTGGGGAGTTGTATTTTTTGGGAGCTGATCACCGCAGTCCACCAGTTTTAGTGAACCGATTACAGCATTGAGGGATTCTCACCTGACACTTGCTCGTTATCGTTCTGATTCACGGACTGGAAGGACTGTATGTTAATGAAACGCAAGGTCATTCATCATCGTCGACACCAGCCTGGTTTCGTTCGTGGTGGGTGGACTATCTTGCCTTCCTTCATCTTGGGCATTGATCCCAGACCAAGGTCGGCCGCACATCACCTGCAGCTTTTGTGCAGGCGGCTCGATTTGTAAGGGTTCCCATATGGTTAAGGGCTAGTGTTCGTGGGTTTTGTGAGATTAGGACGGTTGGAGCGGAAAGATTGAGAGCAGCGGTGAGAGTGGTGGACAGCTTGTTCCTTCAACTTGCGGAAGGATATTATGTTGCAGTGGGGGAGCCATAGTCGTGCACAGGTGGTTCAAGACAGGTAGGAGTGATTCCTCGCCGCGAGCTTGTCTCATTGTGGCTGCACTAGTTGATTCCTGCTCTGCGCTCCCTCGCAGCTTCTTCTCCATCAACTCTTGAGCCTTTTCTGCAGCCGTCACACAATAGTGAGCTGTCCTTCTCTTCGACAGTGAACCGTGAACCGTTTATGAACAAGACGCTGTATTTGTGCAGCTGGGTCAATTTCTTTTCCTCCCAGAGTATGCATCTGCAGTACCATGGTGGAGACATTTTAGATTCGGCGTAAGTTCAATTACGAACCAATGGACTACAAATCGAAACCAGGGTTATTTCAGGTGATACTAGGTCAGTGGCTGGCAGAGATTGGTTTCTTAAGATGCGTAGGAAACTTGCAGCCCGTTTGTCTTCAGAGGTTTCGAGGCTCGACACTTCGAAGACCACAGGGTATTTTTGAAGGCATAGAAGTGTCCTCAAGCCTCTGCACGGAAAGGGTTCTTACCTATCTCATTGGGTAGCGCTGCCATGGGTTTGCCTGATGTGAAGTCCAGGTTCCAATACTGCGGCCATGAAAAGACTTTATATTGTGTCTTTGCTTCAAGTGCAAATCCACCAAGAAGAGAATCGGTGCCGTTCATTTCTCAGCGTGACTTAAATCACTGAACAGTGAAATGCCTTTTCAAAAGCTACGATACCCTCACGTACAGCTACTGCATAACTTTTGAACTCGACTCTAAGGTTTTAGGGCCCTGTGTAAGACAATGCTTTCATACACACACCGGATTTGGAGGGTGGGTATCATGTGTGGTGGGTTTGGAGTGCTCCTCGGAATGGCGGAATTAATCGATTGAAAGTGGTTGGTCTTAACACCGAGAGTACACGTTATCAATAGGAGAACATTGAATAACATCTCATCTGGCTGATGCCTTCAGTGCTTCAAACATACGAGCGTTGGGATGTATCTTCGATTCTAGAGAAATACATAGACACTGGTTGTTGAGGACGTTTTTTTGTGGACATGAATGATACTTCATCTTCTTAACTTTGTTTGCCTTGCCTGGGATGGATCTGCTGTGCATAAACTGCAGAGTACATCAACTTTGACTTCGAAATGGTATTTGTGTAGGTAGGTCCTGTCAAAGGAGAGGAAAAGAAATGCGCTTGGGAAGAATTGAATTATGTGAACTTATGTGGCTCCATATATCGAACTGGCTGATTATGCAGGACATCGCGGAAACCCGCTGCGAACCGAAGTTTGTAATCAACTAAGTTATGAATTCCTTCTGAAGCGGAGTGGCTATTAATTACAGCACTGTAAGAAATCCTCACCTTGTCACATGTTGTGCTTGTAGGTATTCACTAAAGCGTTCAATCCCTACAAAACCAAGGATTACTTTCTGCTCATCTTGAAAAATAGATGTATTACAAATGACATATGAATGAATCAATATAACGATAATTTTGTGGCAAATACTGAATATGGTGAACTACAATTCTTTTGGCATAATTGGGAGTATTATCAATATAATCAACATATTAAATCAAATTGAGATCGGTTTTCTTTCTAAAGTCGGTTTATATCCCAGCGATAATCTTCATATATATATATATATATATATATATATATATATCTATGTTTTGATGTGTTTAAAATGAAGAACTTGAGACGTAGTAAAATTTTGAAACTCTTCAACCCAAATTTTCTAATGAAATTCTCAATACATTGTTTGATCTGCTTCAAGTTGAACTCTAAGTGAAAATTACAAGAATAATGTAGCTGGATTCATAGTTGTTAACTGTCTCAAATTATGAGGAAGACATGGACGGATGGAATCACTAATGTTAATTAGGAACAACAAGGTGGATTTGTTCACCATCTCACATCCTTAAAGGATTGCTTGATTATTCAAGGGGGAAGCTAGCAGCAACATGAAATTACAGAGTCACACTTGCATTCAGGACCATATCGCTCTGTCGCAAAAGTACTTCTTCTGTTGCAGCAATCGTTTGATTGTCTTGTCATGAAGTTCTGCCTCTAAATCTTCTAACCTGGTGCTGCAGAATTATGGACTGTACATCGTGTGCACCTCGTCGAGCTCTATTACAAGCAACGTCACCAGCTGCTAGAAGTAATAGTTCTGCTCTCTTCACATTCACCATGTATTCGTTTATCATTCCGTTCACTTGCAGGCAACGAATTCAAATCTACAACACCCACTCTTTGTTTCACTTCTTAAGTCGTCAGAAAGAAATATCGCGACCCTCTTGTGTTCGTTAAAGTGAGACTCTCTGGGATGGCAGGTACAAGTAACCTTGTGTGGTTATATATCGTAGCGTCTGTACTGGGTTCAGTAGTCTTTTTGTGTGCTTGCTGTTGCACATGGCGCTACTGTAAGAACAGACGAGCTAAACGTCCCAAGGGGAAGCCGCTGCCCTTCGTCGAGCAAACTGTTTCAGGTACTGTAATGTGTTAAAAACTTGGTGCACCATTGACTGTGGTTGATTGAATGACCATGTTTTGAATTAGAGCTACGATCGTCATATAGTCTTCAGGGACGGAGAGAATGTTTGACGTTGAGATTATGATCACTACAGAGGTGCTAGGAGGGCCTAATCAAACAGCGAAACTGATACCCTATGAAACAATCGCTCAGGCTACCAACGACTTCGATCTGAGACAAAAAGTAGGGGATGGACGCTTTGGTCCGGTCTTTCAGGTCAGAAAATTCAAACAATCTGTAGAGTTTGACATTCTACAATGTTCTGCTTTGGCTGCGTGTGAATTGTGCCTCAAGTGATCACACCTTGTTTACTGATACCCTTGAGAGAGCGGACGTGCGCAGACAGAGCTGCCAGATGGGTCGGATGTGGCAGTGCGTCGGCTCCCCTTGAATTCCAGGCATGGAAAGCGGGATTTCGCCAAGGGCGTGAAGAACATGGCGGAGGCGCAGCACAGGAACGTTGTCCGGCTCATAGGATGCTGCTACACCAACGCTCGCTTGCTCGTCTACGAGAACCTCCCAAATGGCAACCTTGCTCAACACCTTTTCGGTACTCCTCCCCTTCGGTTCTCTGAACGGATATGCTTCAGATAACGCCGACAGCGTCAACACGAATAGTTAAAGCAAGTGTGAAAGACTGTTGACGGGTGTGATGCATTGTCTTGTACAGACGCTAGAGCTCCTTTGGACTGGGTCAGCAGATTCGACATCTTGTTGGGAACTGCAACCGGCCTCGCGTACTTACACGAAGAGCCTGACTCCATCTTTGCACACGGTGGCATCAAAGCTGGAAATATCATGCTGGACAAGATCATGAAGCCCAAGATCGCCGACTGGGGTCTCGCCCCGCTGTTCCGCAACGACCAAGGAGGGGTCAAGCCTCGCAACATGGTCTCTGTGTGAGTACTCTCTTCATTCCTGGTTCTACTGAATATTCCCATGATGTCAAACCCATGAATACGTATGTGCGAAACGACTTCAACTTCATTGAGTTTCTTTTTTGAAAACAGAGGGTACATGTCGCCGGAGTTGGCTTTAGAGGGACAATTATCAGCCAAGGCGGACGTGTTCTCGTTCGGCATTCTGTGCTTAGAAGTTATTAGTGGGCGTCAAAATACGGACATTAACCTCCTCGGAACCGAGATGCAAACTCTTCTTAGCTGGGTACGTGCTAACTTTGGGTTCTCTTGTTCTTCCACCCTTAGACACTCGAGGGACAGTGTCATCCACGAGAGGAAGGCCTGGTTGCAGTCCAACCATTGATTATGTTACTGAAGCAGCTCACCTTTGGAAGGTGGTGGAATCTGCAGGCCTGGCTACTCCGAGACAAGCACGAGCCTCTTAACATGTTGGACAAATGCCTGAAGAACAACTGCAACGAACAGGAGGTCCTGAGAGTGATCTTTGTTGCCCTCTTGTGCACCCAGGACTCCGCCGAAGCCCGTCCTTCCATGTCTCGCGTGGTGGCTATGCTCAAGAACGAGGAGTTGATTTCCAAGCTACCTGAAAAACCAGAAGCGGTGAAATCCCTGGAGCTCCAAGACCAGAACGTGTCGGGCACGTTCACAAGTAAATTTGTGACACCGGCCAAGATGCCGCACACGCCGAGAACGCCGAGTTTGGCCAAGAAATTGAGCATGAGATGGGGATCTAGAAAGCAGCGTGGACCCAGCGCAAAATTGAACGAACCAGAGCCCGTTGAAATGGGCTAGCGTAACAGCAGGCCAGTGCCGCAGGCAGGTAGTTCAACAAAGAGCATATTCTTATGCATTTCCGCAGACCATGCCCAGCTTGTATAGAAATCAAAGACGGAACTTCTCCCAGCGTTGGGTGTCTCGCATCAGCTCATTCTCGGTTATTGAAATTGCATGTTGAGACTCGCACCACCCGCACTGCAGCTCCAGATTGTAAGAGACAACACTGAGGGAGACAGTACATGGAGACGAGCACCACACTCCGACATTCTCTTTGGAGGGGCTTAGAATCTGTAAATAAGGCAGCCCAAAGTGTTGATTTTTCATAGCACTGCTGCTGTTAATAGTGGGATAATATATTGCAGATTCGTTAATACAACAGCATTCTTCAGCTACTGACGTTTTCCAACTCCTTCAAGGATTAAACAATAAACTTCAGATCTTCGAGTTTGAATGTCCTCATTAGAATTTTAATGTAATAGAACAAAGAGTTCCACTTAATATTTACCACAGGATTTGGCTAGAAGTGCTGACAAGCCCATGGAGGCAATTCTGAAAATATCCACAAAGTGGTTAACTTATAGTTTGATACTGTTAAATGACATAAATGCACAACAACTATAGAAGTAATAGTGTGAAAAGACGTGCTGTGCCGATTTCTAGATCTGGTTGACAAGGTGCACACATACTTCGGAGCCGCACATATTTCAGAACAGAGATGAGATGCATAGTTCTATGTTGTCATGGAACCGGTGAGTGACAAAAAGCTTAATGGCCGTAGTGAACACTGTGTTAATCACACTGATTTTGTGAGATAAATGCTAATTGTTGCAATTATGTTGTTCACTGCAAAAATGTACACGAGTTTCAGTGTTAATGACATTTGGAGGTTTGAACCAGCAATGAAGAAATCGTGTAAGGATGTAACGACTCACTACAATCTGGTCGAGAAATTATGGCGTTGTATCTTCGTACCTGCTGAGATAACAAACTAGCAATAGAATGTTGGAGTCAGTCTCTTGAATCTGACCAGTTTTTAGAGGAGATGAATGCTCGGTAGGTCCAGCTTACCAGGTTTTGGTTCGGCATGCGCTCAGAAAGCAGTAATAACTCCAAAGGATGTTTGCTAATGTCATTCATGAACGCAATGCTTAATTGTGTATATCTTCAGAAACTCAGGGTTAGAAGATTTGAGCAAAGAAACATGGAAACAATTTAACTTCTTGAGACTATTGGGAATATTATCTTAATGTTGTTAAAATTTCATTCATAAGAGCGAAAGTTAATTCCTTAATTGGTATTTAGTTTTGATTTATTGTTGATTGTGAGTCTTTTTCTTAATATCAAGATGATATTTTAGTTTTAATAACATGTTTTTACTTATAATTTTTGGATTTCTAATCATTTTTCTATTAGATTCTATTGTATGTAATGAATAATATGAATGAAAGAATATGATAGTAGATTGACAATAACAAAGAGTCAATGTTAGGTTATATAAACATGATTGAAAATGTATAAGAATAATATTATTTCAACATTAAGTTAATGTTAGATTGAATAAAAGTAGTTTATGTAATTGTTGAGCTAGTTTCTTCTTAATAATTTTTTCGTTATATTTATTATACTTTTAAAAGATGATTTTTTTTATCTTCAAACTTTTCGAACTATAGGCTTACATAACTATCCATTTAAATAACATTTTGTGCTAGCTAAAAAATGACGTATTTTATTATTGATGAGATAAAATTTCTATGTAAAAGAAAGTAATTCACTAATCTTATTAACAAGTCACATTTAAAATTATATATAAAAATAAGAATTATTTTATTGAATTAGATAGTAATGTATTTAATATTATAATATAATAATATTCTGGTTATAAATTCAATAATCAAGAATAAATAAAAAATTAAAATCTATAAATTCTTTCTTAATATAGATATAAAATTACAAGTTAATAAAAATTTGATATAAAATATTTTAAAATTATTTTTTTAAGTCTATATTCAGTATTTCAAATTTTAAAGGAATTAACTTTCGTTCTTAATTAATTCTCACATTTTTAATTCTCAATTTTTAATTCTCAAGTATTTTCAGTATTTCAAAATTTTAATTCTCAAATTTTAAAGAAACTAGAAAAAAGAATTTATATTACAATAAATACTACAATGACAAAAATAAAGATTTAAAATGCAAATAAGATAATTAATGTAGTTAAATCTATCTAATCTTTGGTTTTGTTCTTTATTTCTTTATTTATATATGATTTATCAAGATAAATATTATTAAACCAATAAAATAGACAAATATAAGAACAAAAACATATAGAATGTATTGTAATACATTTAATTCTATTAAACAAGATATATCATATCTTACAACTATTTTATTATTTCAAACTTACTAGAATTTTATTATTTCAATATTATTATTATTATTACTAAATTTTTTAAATGGATTTTAAAACAAGATTTATAATGATTAATTTTAAGGCATAATTATAATTATAAATCAATTAGTTAGCTTGGCAATTGAGATTCTAATATGCTCTCTATTTAATGTTTTAAAATCTTAAAGAGTTTTTCATAAAAGAATATTGATAACAATAATAATTATTTTAAAAAATAAGAATCTACAAAAATAAAATTAGTCTCTTACAAAATAAACTTGTAATTTAGTGTATATATATATATATATATATATATATATATATATATATAGATATTGTAAGAGATTTAAATGACAATAAATTCACTAAATTTTAATACATATATATATATATATATATATATTCAATATCCCATGTCACAATTCTTGTTAATGTCACTTATTGATGGTAATAAATGCTATGTGTTACGAATTGTGTACATAATAGACAAAAATAATTTAATATAAAACCAATATATCCTTAATGAAACATTTCATCATCCTATGTATTGCTTTAATTTTTTAGAACTATTTGTTTATTTATGTCTAAGTTAAATGTAATGTTGCATTTATGTACAAAGTCTCAAAATATTACTATTTCATTATGTGACATATTTGTACTAAGTAATGTCAAATTTCAATTATTTACCAGTAACAGAAACCATAGAGCTAATTTTGATTTAATCTATAACAACTTTTAAAATGGTAATGCAAGAATCCCTTCACTCTCTCTATTATAGGACATATTATTAATCAAGACATTGGAGATTCTTTTATAAAGTTATTGTGCTAGGCATTTAATTTTTCTAACACAAAGTCTCCCCCATTGTCCCATCGAGATTGGCAAGCTGAGCTTCACCTCTCTGTCACCAGAACCACATCACCCACTAATTGTAGTTTTGCGTGTTTTTGTGTGTTTTTTTTGTGAGGTTATGACAAAACTCAGTTGACACGACCCAGTTGTGGGCGTTAGAAGTGAGTGTGCGATTCCAATGTAACATTGCGGTTCTTAATTCACTATATATTTTACGTCACTTCCATCCAAGAGATCAGCGATGGTGCACACCTTATTTCTAAGTCAAGCTTTTGCACTTAAGGATTGTATTCCTGCTTTTGTGTTCAATTTCTCCCACGAAAGAAAACTAGAACACTTAAAAATTGATACAGGTTTACCAAGTAGATGTCAAATTAGCAGCGTACTGGTACTTGGCTGACTAGCTTGTTTAGCAAGTTTGCTTGTCACGTGTGCCATCTAAGATGATCTCTTTTCTGTTTGACTAAATTACCATAGATTCACAATTTTTTTGTGCAGAGGTCGAGTTTTTTTTAAAAAGACAGCAGTGCCCCGTCTTCGGCCAATGCGATCCTCGTGCTGTTTCCACCCTTAAAATAAATCCTCCTTCAACTCACGACTTCTGCTGACTTATCTATCTACAAGGCAATGATCTGTTGGTCCCCTAGAACCGATGGTGTGCTCCCCTTGATCTCGAGGACCCGCGGTGACTTGTGGATGGCAAGGCCATGGCAGGCATTGCATCAAAAGACAGTATGCATGCAATGGCGTGCACAGAGTCAGCCAGGACAGCCGGAAGATACAACCGCGGTTGAGTCACCTGTTGATGTAAAACAAACACAGCAGCATTAAGGACTCCATGAGACTCTACTATCAAAGTAACAAATGAGTGCGACAAATCTCAAAAATGTTTCCCTTCAGACCATCTCTACTTTCTCTAGTCGTTCATGTTCAAAAACTGGGCTGTGAAAATTTCTGAACGACTTAGCGTGTACAACAGATAAATCGTTGAAATTAGAAAAGCTATACATCATACTAGTGAAGGAGCATAACTGCTGTTTACAAACCTTGAAATTCAGAGCTGCGTTCATCCTTGATCGCAGAACAAAAAGTTGAGCTCCATCTAAAGCTGTAGAACTGAAGTAGAACCGCCGATCAACCACAACAGAAACAAGCGCATCTGCAGAAGACATTAGACGATGCTGTGCAGGCACCTCCCTACTGGGTCGCTCTTTTACCTGCAACGCCATTTGAGAATAAGAGGTCATATGAAAGTTGCAAACTTGTAGTTATACCGCATGCCATCGAAGGCAAGAGAGATGGACATGACTAGTGAATCACCTGCCGATACGTGGACATAACCCATGCTAACTATCAACGCAGATCAATTTAAGAGTCAGACTAAACCATGATTTCAGTTTAGTTCTCTAAGCAGGGTTCGGCAAAGCATGATACACATAGTTAATATTCCCAACTACTTCAGGGTAACAGTGTTAGCGTACCGCCCCTTCATCTTCATCACTGTCATAATCATCATCGCTTATGTCGTCCCCAACACTACTTGGTTCTAACGCGGCACTTTCTTTCCCGTCAGGAAAAGTAATTACCATCTCAGTAGATAAAAGAATCAAGGGATGTGGAGTAATAAGTGTGCACTTCCGAACGTACACCTGAGCACAGGAAATTAACCAATCAAATAAATTTAAAATCACAAATCAAAAGGAAGGTCATATTAATTGCAAAACAATAGGGCGTAACTCGACACTTGAGACACTAATTTTAGATACAGTCGAACTAAAGTACACTGCAAGTTCAGGCACAGGAGGAAAACGGATGGACGTGGTTTAATAAGCAGCACACAAATTCAAAAGTTTGTCTCGGAGACCTGAGCTTCTCCGCGAGTGACTTCATCAAAAACGACAAGTAGCTGATTCAGCTTGGTCTGGTCCATGGAAGCGAGCTCATTTGGTTGAATACTTATTGAATGTGGATGAATCCGTACTTTCTCGCCCCTTGCTGTTTGCACAATGGCCTTCGCACTGCCAGGTAAAGGAGGTAGCAAATTGCCAACCATTGGATACATTCCTGCAGCCAGTACTGCTCTTACAATGCCAGGATCTCGCGCATTCAAACTGCATGGATGCGGCTCCATTTTGATAAAACCTTTCTGTACAAGCTCGCCTTGCAGCTGTTGCCTCATACCAGCGAGCTGAAACATTGTCCCACCTGCAACAATAGAATCATGTGTTGAAAATTATAAACAAAACGTTCAAGTTCAAAGTGCCCAGGATTGCAGAGGCTACATTTACAGAAACTCCCTCTTATAAATAAAAATCACATTACTCACTTCGTCTGGAAGTGTACCTGACACAAAGTATCTTGAACAGAAATTACTCTCCTGGCCGTTGACTCGTGCATTCTCCCATCTATCAAAAGCTGCCACAATGGATAGATGGTCACTAGAGCCCCCATACATCGCAGCGAGTTCCTGCCGTGCATGCTGAGCCTGCTTCTTTTGATAAGGGTGTAGGGGAAGGACAAAGGGATCTCGAAAACCAGCGGCACAAGCAACCGTCAGAGCAGGATCAAGACAATTAAGCAGGATAGCTAGGAGAATCATCCTGCTTGTGGAAGGATGGACTGGAAGTGATCCCAGCTGCTTTCCCATCTCCGTAAGCAACTCATCAGAGGTGAGAGCACCAATGTCTTGTAGCAGTGTCACCGCATTCCGTACTGCTATTTCTAGAGGTGGATCAAGCGCTCTTAAAATAAACTCCGCAATTCGTCCATGAGGTTCATACAGTTTTACCTGATCAACGAACAGTAACAAAAACATCAACCCTGCTATTAGAGGGCATTGCAGAGAAAACAACTTCATAAGCATTAAGGACAGACAGATTGCTCATGATAAATAAGAAAATTGCTACACCAATTGTGATATGAACGCGGAAAAAGAGAAATCCGCAATAACATCATACGATCAGCATCATTCATGTGCATGCTGACCTGCAGGCAAAGTTCCTCAAGAGGTGTTCGCTTGATTTCAGGAAGTTGAAACTCAGGCAGAGCCTGCATTCTCAATCTGGAAAACAAATGATAGCAGACACCTGGTTGACACCGTCCCGCTCTCCCTTCACGTTGCTTAGCACTAGCTTTTGATATCCAGACGGTCTGCAAACATACACGTAATGAGCAATAGTGCCAGTAAAATAATTCCTACTGGTAAAGAACTATGCCTAACAGAACGGATGGCTCTACCTATTCAAAAAAAAATTGCAAATAACTTAAACCATTTCATTGAACAGCATTTGTAATGCAACAAAATAGTACTGTACCTGCAAAGTAGACACGTTGCTATACGGATCGTAACTCTTCTCTTTCATTCGACCAGTATCAATTACATAGACAATATCATCGATAGTAATTGCAGTCTCAGCAATGTTGGTAGCTAGAACAATCTTGCAAACTCCGCTGGGTGGAGACTGGAACACTTTCCTTTGTTCGCTTGAAGGCACCAGCGAATGTAAAGGCAATAATAAAAATCTGGAGGGATTACCAAAGATAGGGGAGACCTGTAGACACTCACGAAGCCTAGAAATATCCTCCCACCCAGGTAAGAAGACCAACACAGCCCCTTGGGTATCCAATCTTTCTCCGGCTGCCTCGTGAAGTCTATGTAGCAAGCGTTCAATCAAGGCCACGTCAATCTCATCCTGTCAAAAATCCAAAACAGAGGTTCCATCAGAAATCGGAGGTCTTGAGGTATCTACACATCATACCCAAGTACAAGACCAAAAAGCATTTCAACTTGACGTCGCGAAATTGATATGCAGGAGCTCCAAAAACACTCGTCCAAAATTTTACTGGTCGTACCTGATCCGCTGACATCTGATAATTTTGCAACAGAGCAGTTTCTGCCGCCTGAAACTGTGCTTGCTGCACTTTCACCATGTGTTCGGTCAAAATTGAGACAACCTCTTCTTGACCATTGTTTTTAGCCCAATCAAAAGCTGTGTGACCATTATTTGCAGCAGCAGATATGTCAGCCCCAAGAGATAATAGCAGCTTAACATCCTCAACTCGTCCCTTTCCAGCACTAACCATTAGTGCAGTTGCTCCAGTTAGTGAATGCTTGTAATTACAAAGGTTTAACCTCGGGAATTCCTCAATTGTATCCATGAGTGTTTCAAAATCATCTTCCAGCCATGCTAATTGAATCGCTTCATCCATACTCTGCACGTCCTCCTCAGTAAGGGATAATTTTTTTTCACTATTCCGACCATTTTGATTACTAGATTGCTGGTTCTCGGTCAGGGCCAGCACATCTTCAAGGTAGTAGGTCTGCACCTGCACAAAAAAAATTGCAACATAGATATAAACATTAGAGCATGAAGATGAACACACTGCATCTAACGCGATTTAAATGTTTAAAGTTAGAGCTTGTGGATGGATGCTAAAGAATATCATGAGCATTGTACTTCACACACAGTCCCCCCAAAAGTCAAATGAAATGATAACAACTTTTCATATTGAAAAGAAAGGTACAGTACAATTGTCTTTGAAACAATAGAACAACTAAGCAATATGTATCACATCTGCACATGTGGAATAAACTCTGCACTGATGACATACTGAGAATGACGTGATCACTAGAGAGAAGCAGGTGATGCAGGACTCTTACTGGAAATGTAAAACCTGGTACTCGAACTACTGGGCAATTGTTGAAGTAACTTGAAAAAAGGTCAGCGTCCAGCGTGGCACTCATTAAAATCTGATAGGTGTGGAGTATGTCACATCAGTATATCACGTCAACTATCAAAATGCTTTCAAATGCTTCCAAATAAGGTCCATGTAGAAAAGATACGATAGGCACAAAAAAAGTTTGTCTTGCTATTCACGAAATTACATAGCTCACCAAGCGCAAGTTCGGCTTCAAAGCAAGCAGGTCCCTGCACAACACAGATCACACTTTTACATCTTGCAATTACTACACATCTGATGAAAATTGAAAAAACTAGGTAATTAGACAGTGGTAATGAATTTCATGGTTTCAAACCAATCCAGAATGAAGACAGTGCAGTAAGACAAGCTTTAACTATAACATCATTGCTCAAACAATGTCAATCGTAAGGCATTAGTACTCATAGATTTAGGGATGTAGTTCCCATTGCAGCACACACCTAAGCACAATCAACAAGAAATCAGCGTTTCGATCACGTTCATGGATTTCATCCTGCAAAACCAACATGATACTCATTATGAAGCCGGTATATCACCAATCAAAAATGCCCAAAATGACTTAAGCCAAACTAAGAATCGACAAACAAAGTGGAGAATACAGTGTTTTAGAAGCAAAGGCACCTCAGAACAGACTTACGACTATGACATGAGTGGCATCAAGTCCACTGAATTCCTCTGATTCATCCAAAACAGATTCATTTTCCTTCAACTTAAGACGACCGGATCCAACAAGCTTCCTTAAAAGCACACCGTTTGTACAGAACATGAGAGAGGAGTGCCTGCCTCCTTTTGATTCCAAACGAATCTGCATATTTCAAAGTCTAACAAATGGTCACGCCTGATCCAATAATTATGTTATACTTATAGAAGATACTCGTCACTTTCTTTGAGGTGATAATCAAATGCAATATTCCTACAACATCAAGCAGCTTATGAACATATCAGTAACGGAAACAAACTCGCAAAAATTCAAATCAGACCAAAATGAGCATTTCATTAAAATAGAATAACTCTAGAATAGACAAGCTTATTAAAAGCTAACCTGGTAACCAACTGTATTACCAACATTTTCCCCACGCTCGGCAGCGATTCGCTCAGCAACTGCGTAAAAAAATACTTGATGATGAGCCTAATACCATTAACAGAAGTATAAAGCCAGTATTCAAGTTCAAGGTAGTCACTCAAGTAGCAGGTTTGAATTCAGCACTGAGAGCTACGTCCTCAAATTTTTCTGCAAGGCACATCTAAATCAATTTAACGACTATCACCTACTTCCATCCATTTTCAGACAGCGATTTATTTAAATAAGACAAACCTGAAGTGGCTGAAATACGTCGAGGTTGAGTGCAAATAATCCTGCAGGGCTTGTTTTGAGACCACATGTGATCAAGAATATATTGTGGAACCTGAAGGCCACACAAATATATGATTGACTTTTAAATGAAATTATCTGCAACTCATTATATCCAGTTCTCTGTTCCAAAGCTCTACCGAGAACAACACACTAAAGTACGTCAACATCACATATCTTCCAAACCTGGTACGTGTATACGAACCTGGGTAGTTTTTCCACAGCCAGTTTCTCCTGCGATGAGAACTACCTGAAAAAATAAAGTGCTCAAAAGCTTAGAAATAAAATCTGATTCACCCAAACAGCCATAACGTATCTGACACAAATAAAACCGTAAAATAATCACGAGAATCTCAATTCCTCGACATAAACAGTAGAGCTACCAACTTCAGCTGGACTACGCTTCCAAGAGTATCAAGACCCAGCTATACACAAGCAAACCCACCCAATGATCATTCAAAATAAAATCTGTGGTATCTGAAATTGCTACTAAGATAACCGCCGTCTGACCTGATGTTTATCCACAACAGCTGTAATTTCATCCTTGAAGGAAGCGATTGGTAGTGTCGACCTCTTTTCAGCAATCTGATGGCATCAAAAAAACGGAAGATTCAATCTGGGACATTAACATTAAAGACCAAAGATACTTAAGGCTTCCTGCTAATATAACATACCATATTATGTGGCCTAAGGAACCAAACGCAATATCCTTTCAAGTCAATAGTATATCCAAGTTTAAGACGTGGACATGGAGTAAACACTACAGTACTATTTTGACCAGCTATATCAAATTGCAAAGATACACCTGATTAAAACAAAATGTAGAGACCAAACATATTGCATTTGTGATCCCCGAAATCGCAAACTAGAAAAACCAGAAAAATAGACATTACTACATCGCGGACCTTTTGAAGAGCTGGTTGCTTCTGTATTCGTGAAGCTAGTGCAGCTGCTTGTCGAACAACGTCACCTGGATTCATTGTCCACTGCTTGCTAGCCTTTCCACGATTGTAGTGACGATTAGATTCCTTCTTACTCACGGCACTACTCGATGTTGAAGTAATTGCTGGAGGTTCCCATTTATTTGCAAGTAGTTCATCTTCCACAGGAGGGTGTCGTTGAAATAGATCCGCTAAAATTTCATAGGACGCTGGTGAGAAGGTCAAGGGAGTTGCCGATGCAGGTTTGATTCCTGTTCGCTGTGATGGTTTAAAAACTGCAACACGTCGATCGTCTCCCTTTCTGCATACATAAGATTTTTATGAAAGCATGACGAGAATACAGAAGCATACACCGATGCTAAAAACCAGCTTAGAATTCACCAGATACAAGACACAAGCGTGTTGTTCGGTAGAGTATGAACTCTACCATTAAGTAAGTGAAACCCTACAAACTAGAGCATGCAGATATAGGGCCAAAGCTAGAGCTAAGAGTGCCAAATTACACCATATCAGCACGAATACTGACTGCAGTTTTTACAAGAATCGCGGACATACCCGCGACTCTTGGACTTTAATCCCAGCTTTTTGCAAGTGTCGTGCACCACAGCTCTGTCATGATTGCTAAGATCCGCCTCAAAAATTAGCTCTGCAATTGCAAAGTCCCACGAGGTATACATGATGGCGAATAAGCTTCTATGAATGTAAACTCGCAAATGTTCTCACATGTTCACATGTTCTTCGAATTTAGATAAAGTAGCTTGTTCGCATGTTTATCATCATTCTCACCAAGACATGCATCAAACGACATTTGCTTGCTGCCAAGAAATACAGAAAATTCTACGTTGTAGATCCTCTCTAAACATGTGTAAAATCTGGACGGAAGCTCACAGATTTGAACGTGCATATTAAAAAGCTTATATCTTGCACAGGCACATGTTCCGTGTGACTTACTTCAAAAATAATACGGATTTAAGTATAGACGGAACTACAATCTCATACAGCTTACATGTGTCATACAGGTCTTGCAAAACTACGTAAGACCAGCTGGAATACTCTCTAATTTCTAATCATATGTTTGATTGCGCAATGCAGAATCTAAGAAAGTCTCCTTTCAAATACAATGGTGGATATGCGTGAAGCTAGAAGGATTGTCCATCTTGTGCTTATGACATTGAGAAAATATATAGCAATCGGCCAATTACAGCGTCTTCGGAATGACGAGAAATTTACACGCATATCGACTGTACTATTATATATTTCCTTATAGTAGAGAAAATTTACAGTACTAGGAATGTTCACACGACAGAAAATTAGCACTTTGTTGAGCATGAGATTAAATATTATCAGGGTAATGTCATTGCATTCCACTTGCAGTTGGACATTCTCAAAAAATCTTAAACCAACGCTGCACCAGTAATTCGTATGAACAACCAATTGCAAAAAATCCAGGTCGAGAGAACGTCTCACAAACTACATATTTAAGCACGAAACAGGCCGAGAGAAGTGACCTTCCTCGTTGCTAGCCTTGAATTGGTTAAGCCTGTCCACGATACTGATCCGATCAGCCTCAGCGACCGGACGTCGACCAGCATGATGAGTCCCTCTCCCACCCCCTCCCCTCCCTCCACCTCTTCTCTCTCGCCACGGCTCCATCGCCACACCACTTCAATAAAAGCAAATGTTGCAGAAAAATCTCTTAAAAACACTCCAGAAAGCGCCAAAAAGATTACTGGAGACGTAATTCTAATCTCATGAAAGCTAGAAACGATAAATTGTGGAAGGTCAATGGAAATGTGCGAGGGATTGAGGCGAGAGTGGAGGCCGGAATGAGGCTTCGTCGGAGATGGCCACAGAATGCAGGGGCGGAAATTAGGGCTTGAATTCAATCTGGCCGAATTCCCACCTCTTATACTACTTCGCAAGAGGTCGACTGTTCTGCCTGGAATGTGCTCCGTGGTCACCCTCAATGGGTCTTGCGAATTGAAGATTTATTTCCTCTCCTGAAAATAGTTGTAAAATGGTCCAAGACAATTCATTATCTTAATATTTTCAAACAAGTGGGGAGCTTCAGCTGGGTTATACATATACATATATGTTTGCAGTGATACACTGATGTATATATAGGTAAATCTAACTATATAGACAAACTTTTTATCTTTATTTGTCTATGTGGAAATTTGATGTTTTAATTTGTTTCAATACATTGATGAATGGTCTTAATAATATCAAAATTTATGATCTATATATGTATATGTATATATATATGAAATAACATGTATACATTTAAATATACATCACACATGAAATATTAAGATATGCATATATATATATATATATATATATATAAGACAATGATGCTTACGTACATACATTCATTTCAAAGCAAAGATTTCAATGCTGGTATATATTATGAAAGCTTCATTCATATATTTAAACACAAAAATATAATACAAAAAATATAAAACATTATAGAAGTGAACTTTGTAGTCAAGCTTTTGTTATGATTTGGAGATTGTAGGTCTTTGAACTTAAATTTCAAAACATGGTTAATCCCTTAAATCTTATAATCAATCTATACTCAAATTTCTTGATCTTACATTATTCATATAGGTGGATAATGATAATGATTTGAAAAGTATAGTTTTTATTTTTTAAACTTCAAGAACCATTTCAGGTTAAAATGATTTGTTTAAATTTTTAAGGTAATTAATTTTAACAATAAATAAATAAAATCTACAATTAGAAAATTTAGAAGTTATAGCATACCTTTTTATACACAATGTGTATATTTTTAAATTTAGAAAAATATTATAATTTTAAAAAAATAAAAAATAATTTAAAAAATAATAATAATAACAATAACAAATATAAATCTATATAGAAGAAGAAGAAAAAAGGTCCCTAAAAGTTATTTGTAAATAAGTCATTCATTTGTTTCTATTCTTGAATCTATGATCAAAAGCAAAAGACTAAAAGATAGAGATAGATTTTTCTTTCAAAGAAGGTCATTTTTCAAAAAATGAAAGGAAAAGAAGAAAAAATAAGAAAGAAAGATAAGGAACCATGTATAAATCTATTAGTTGGTAGGAATTGGTATTGGTTGATTATTTTCTATTCTTCTTTTATGAAGAACAATGTAGGTAGGTGTCAAGGACATAAGATGTAATAAAAATTCTAAAGAAGTAATCACACTCTTTTAATATTTAAAAAAAAAAAAGTAGACAAATCAAAGATAAAATATAGGATAGAAATTAGAATAATTATTGCCCTATACAAAGTGATTGGAGATTCTTCAACTAAGGCAAGAATACCCAAAAGGCATTGATAAGAGTGAGAAAGGCCTTACTCTTGTCTCCACATATGCTATCTAATTAAGAAGATATATGGCAACATATTATATGTCATTTGACATGTGTCCAATTTGTAGAATGTATATCTAATTTACAATACAAGTTTTTAATATGTGAGATATGCGACCAAATTGTAAAATAAGTCTCAACATGTGTAATTCATGGCCAACTTATTACTCAAGTTTTGAATCCACAATTCACCTACAAACACTTATAAAATAAAACATATAGACTAGAAAATATGATCAAATTTATTTATTTTATTATTATTCCACTCATCTTATCTTTATAACTACTAATATCAATATTGATGTTTGTGACATTATCCTTCTTTCTAAGAACAAGTTCACCAAAAGTAGTGATGAGATGTTGAAGAAAGCAAACATATTGTAAATTATATTAGCCACATACTTTGATTTTTTTTCTCTTTAAAGGTAATTAATAGGTATTCTCATCCATTATTAGTGCCTTATACCAAGGCAAAAAGACTAGTATAATATTTGATCCTTGTTGAAGCTTTTATAAAAAAATTCAAATAAAATAATTAAAATATTGATAAGAGTGGTTCCTACTTTCTATAATATCACCAAACATTGAGAGTCTCTTTGAATGTTGTGATATCAAATGTGTTGTTGTGACCTATAAAAATAAGCTTAAAAATATATTAAATATCTAATTTTAAAATGTTTTTATCTTACTTTAAAATCGGATATAAAAATAAAATAAAAAAATATATAAAATTTTTAAAAATACCTTTTCAATCTTAAATAACTAAAATTAATTATTAAACTATAACTATTTTAAAATAAATCCTATATAATTTTAATTAAAAAACCTAATTAAATCTCTAATAAATCATAAGAATCCTTAAATAAATTATAAAAAGAAATTAATAAATCTTAGTCAAATTCTAAGAAAATACCATCTTAGATTTCAAACCTCAATAAATTATATATTAATCATTGATCTTGATTCAAATTTCTTACACATCTTTAGTTGTAAATTAATTATAAACACACAAAGTTTTAAAAGAATCTAACTTATAGATTGGAAGAAATGGTTCAAAATCGAGTTAAGAATTTGTCTCAAGGACAAGAAGTCAAAGAATATAAACAAATAAGTGAGATGTTTTTCAAAGAAAGATGAAAAAAAGAAATAAATAAATATGTATATTAAAAATTACAAATTAGAATGTCTATTTTCAAGGAGTAAGAAATTTGAAACTCATGAAATTAAACTAAAAGCAAAAAAGACGTTGAAAAATATTAAAAAAATACCTCATTCTTGCTTCTATATATAATATCTAACTAAGAACTACATAATGATGTATATAAAACCTCCAACATATGTCCAACTTACATGACATGTGTCCAATTAGTATAACAAGCATTTTACATGTATGCCACATATTCAACTTGTTCTACAAGTGGCTAAATTATTTGCTAAGTTTTCAACCTATCAATCATCTATATATACATATAAAAGCAAAGCTATGTCTATAAATCTTCTAAAAAAGAATTATAAGCTATTATCAAATTTATCTACTATTATCTTTTTCTACTAATTCATATTATCTAATTAATTATTGAAGTAATTATGTATATCTATAATAATTTGCCATTTTCTTGTTCTAACATCAATATAAATCTTTTAGCTTAAACACCTCCCTTTTAAACCAAAAACTTGTTCATAAATTTTGTATTAATATATAAAACTTAGTCAAATATTAGTAAACTAAATATTTTTTTCATCCAACCAATATTTTACTTAAAATCTAAAAAAACCTCATTGATCTTCAAAATTCAATTTTTGAAATCTTAACCCACTTGTATCTCAATTAGTTTTAATTTGATTATCCAAATAAGTTCAAATTTACAACCTATATTTAATATAACTATATTTTTAAATTAATAAATTTTTATCCATAGATCTCTTACAAAAATCATAAAATTTATTAAAATATAATTTCTTATTTATTTAAAAAAATAGAGTTACTCAAAACAATCTAAACTTTACAAAGTCAATATAAATTTAAATTCTTCAAATCCAATGCTTATAAAAATCTTATCAAGTTGACTTTCAAAAAAATTATTTTGATCAATAAGAAAAATTATTATTTCTTGTGGGCTTACAAATTTGTGCATCAAGGTCCAATTTCAATCTTGGTTTATAAGTGGCAATTTGTGGATATTAATCTTAGATATATCTAAATTATTTTTATTGATTGCTACTTATTTTTTCAATTTTTAGATGTCCATAATATTATTTTTTCTAATATACTTTATTTTGCTTTATTTATGGTCCTACAAAGTAAGTATTATCTTAAAGGTTGTGAGAACTTTAATTCCTTAATTAATAATTGAGCATATTATAGATTTTAAATTGAATGTGTTGGTTATTAATTCTTTATCTTTTTAAAGCCATAAATTCAAAAAAATCATAAATAATAATAGAACATAGAATTTAATTTTTATTAAATATATTTTATTTTATAGAAAAGCATTTCTTCACACTTCATCTTGCTTTTGATAGATGTTGTTGATAAAAAAAACATCAATTCTTTCTACTACATTTATAAGATTCCTACACGACTCTCATATGCTTTTATTAATATCATATTTGTACCAATGTACAAGATATTTTAATCTATTTTAGCACCAACTTGAATCCAAGACCTCTTTTATCTCAAACTTTAGATTATTGTCCACTTCTATAAAAGAAAGTGGTATTTGTCTTCATTCCTCTATATATCTATTGTCTTTTATGACTCAAAAGAGATGTATAAAACATGGAATAGATCTTCATAGACTTTTGTATATGTAATTGATATGTAATTAGATTCATTTATTTAAAAAAAAATGTTCTAAATCTATGATAATTCAACTTATTACAATAAAAAATAGCCTTAATATTACAACAAAATAATCATGTCTTGTTATTAATGCAGAAATAAGATTATTCCTTGGAATAGACATTTGTATTGGTACTTTGTTATTTTTGAATTTTATTTAATAGTATCTTCATTGTTACATATAGCTCTATTAAATAATTTGCTAAAGCTTATTTTATAAGATTATCAACTTTTAAGAAGTCAAAAGTATCAAGTATGGATGATAATCACAATTACTATAAAAAAGTCATTCTTAAGTAAAAAAAACTTATTATATAATTTTAAAAAAACTTTCTTAATAACAAAAAAATTCTCTAATTATCTTAATGATAGTTAATGGTATATTTCAAATACTTCTCTAATACTTAATTGATCCATTTTGTTTGTCTATCAATTTGAGCAAAAAAAAGCTAAGATAGTTTTATATCTGCCTTTGATCTATTACAAAGAATTTTTAAAATTTAATTACAAATTAAATATTTTTTGATATAATATCTTTTAGTAATTATCAAGGATATAAAATTCAAAAAAATAAAAACTCGATACAATCTTGTATCACTTAAAAAGAATAGATATTAATTCAAAACTAATATAATATTAAAATTAGAATAGCTATCATAAAAGACAAGAAGACT